TTCAGCAGAGAGTTGATTAAAGCCTCAAGCAAGCATCTGATACAATTATACCCTATTACTGGCCACTTCAAACGTGATGGTTTTGCCATATATTAATCTTATAATGAAGATAACAGACCAGGACCTACAATAACAGGGGGCTGTGTCCATGGACTCTGCAGGTTCAGGAGGAAACATCTCCTGGCCCCACTTCTACCAGCAGTTTTGATACTTAGTGGGATGAAAAGACTGCATTTCCACTGGCAAGCCACATCTCATTGCCCTCCTCTCACCTGAGATGTCCTTTCTTTCCTGATAAAGCAGTTTCTTGGACCCCCTGCATATACTGGTTACCTTTCTAAACAAGTTATCACTCAATACAAGTGGTTTATGGGCCTCACCATCTTCAAAGTGTGAGTTATGGACTTATTTATGTGTTTGTGTATAGTTGCTGATAATTAATGTTCCCCCCAAAATTCATGTGTACATTTATTAGTCATTTACTAATTATTTCTGCACCATTTGTACACGTGCCATACCCTTCACAAGGAGTATAATGAGTTTCCTGTATGGAAGCTCTGTTGTTTTCCCATTGTTCTTTATATATTCTTGGGCCTTTAAAAGCCAAGTCCTGACTATCAGATGCTGAAAGCAGAGCATGGAAATGCACAGGGAGGCAAAATAACCTTCACCTTGCCTGCAGCAGACGGATGGCCTGAGATCTACTTTAGCTTGAGTTGAAGCTCTACAGATTAACATAACATTCAGTTATTTATTTTCAGTTTCCCTAAAATCCATGCAAAAGTATTCAGTTTTCCAGCTCTGCCCCACCTATGAATGCTATGATCCACACAAACATCATGTCCTGATGTGGTTTCTGGATCCTGATCCACTCAAGACAAGACTGGCTGTCTTATAGCTATGGGGTACAGCAACCAGCACGCATCGCCAGATTGATGAGATCCAAGCTGGGAGTCACAAGGGAAATGCTCTGTTCTTGGTTCACTTGGTAGCTGCACCATCAACACTTGAGTCCCATATGGGACTGAATGGTGGGAAGCATCCACCTCTGCATGCAATAGCCTTTGACCTGAGACAGGACCACACTTCAAGAAGTGGCTGCGGTGTCCTGAACACCACTATCACTATCTTGGGAGAGAGACTTTTTACAAGGGCCTGTAGCAACAGGACAAGGGGGAATGGTTTTAAACTGAAACAGGGGAGATCTAGATTAGACATTAGGAAGATATTCTTTCCCTGTGAGGGTGCTGAGGCGCTGGCACAGGGTGCCCAGAGAAGCTGTGGCTGCCCCATCCCTGGCAGTGTTCAAGGCCAGGTTGGACACAGGGGCTTGGAGCAACCTGCTCTAGCGGAAGGTGTCCCTGCTCGTGGCAGGGGGTTGAAACTATGTAGTCTTCAAGGCCCCTTCCAACCCAACCCAACCTGTGATTCTATGATTTGAAGGAATGGTCCACATCCTGGGTTAGGGCTGTACCCTGTACCCACCTGCAGTTACACCGGGTTGGCAACAAGATCTGCCGCACCAGCTCAAGCATCCTGCACCGTGAGCTCACACAGATGCCATGTTTTCCTCCTGCCAACATCCCCATCTGCCACCAACCCCTCGACACACACCTCTCAGCCCCCTCATCACACCAGCCCCCGTGGGACCATCACCACTTACCCACTAGCACCGTGATGACCTTGTTGCTGGCGTACTGCTCGATCTCCCGCAGCCACTCGGGCAGGCAGCGGAAGGACTCCTCACAGGTGATGTCGTAGGTGAGGATCAAGGCGTTAGCACTGCGATAGTAACTCTGTGTGATGGACCGGAATCGCTCCTGTCCTGCCGTGTCCCAGATCTGCAGCTTTGGGCAGAACAAGGAAAGGTGGGAAAAGGGAATAAAGAAGTTAACTTTTCTGTTTGATAGCAGTACTGTTTTGACCTATAAAAACCCCTTCAGGGTAAAGCCAATGGTGGGAAAGCACTTTGCTCGTCTCCCCTTTGGCTTCTCTTCTCCCAGAGTGTTCTGTTTGTGTTCCTGCACTAGTGGATTGAACTGCAAGGCACAAAGTCAGCTGGCACTGCAGCCGACAGCCCCTGGAAGGCACTGGTCTGCACATTTTCATGTTGCTTTTAGCATCTCCTTCTGCTGTGGACAGAGCTGCTGGCCTGGAGTTACAACACAGGTGATGGAGAAAGTCGCTTCTCCTGCCGCTGAATATCAACCAACAGCAGCATCCATCCCAAGAAGAAATAATAAAGCCGCTCCTCTGGCTCCCAGAGCCAGTTACAGTTATGCTGAGATGATGCATTGGTGGGTGGAAAATACAGGATTGAACAAGGAGCTCAGAGGGAAGCTGATCCAAGGACTCTAACACAATTCCTCTCCACAGCTTCATCCATCCCGCTTAGTTGCTCACTGCCTGTCTTCCCAATACATAGAACTGGTTGACATGTCCTTAACTATACCACAGACTGGTTTCTGTTGGAAGGGACCTTAAAGCTCATCCAGTTCCAACCCCTGCCACGGGCAGGGACACCTTCCACTAGAGCAGGTCGCTCCAAGCCCCTGTGTCCAACCTGGCCTTGAACACTGCCAGGGATGGGGCAGCCACAGCTTCTCTGGGCACCCTGTGCCAGCGCCTCAGCACCAAAGAGGTCATGAGCATTTGCCAAAGTCTCTGGGTCCAGGAAGACAACAAACATTTCCCAATACAAACTAAACTGATACTGGCTTTATAATTTGAACATTTGATAGGTTTTGGTGGATCACTAAAACCTCAGTTCTTCAAACAGGCAGTCAAAGAAACAAACATCCAAAGGGGAAACATTTCAACATAAAAAAAGGACTTCCCTTCTTCAGCTCCTACTTTTTTAACACAACCCTCCCTGGAATTAACTATGTGAAAGGGTGGTTTCCAGCCAGAATCCTGCATGCTTCGGGAAGAAAAAGGTCAAGTATTTGAGATTTCTTCCATATATTCAGCAGCCCATAACAGAGAAAAACCTTATTATTACCCAGTTCCAAAGTCAAACTACCCCAGCTACTCATCATAAATGTGTTAGTTTGAAATAAGAGCTCCCAGTAGCAGCTTTCAGATGTGGGTGTAAGTTTGAAAAAGTACTTTTTCTGAGAGAGAAAGTGATTTGTTCTGGTTCACAGCTCCTGGGCACCTTTGTGCTTAATCTCTTGGCATAGTTGTAGTTAAACAGCTGAACCTGGCACCTGTAGTTAAGTGACACACAAAACCATAAGTGAAATTATTTGTACATGGAATGCAGATAATGAACAAGACCCATTAAAACAAATCAGCCTTGAAACTCTGGCAGATGGGAAAATACAGATCATTTTGTTGTTGCTCGGCTGGTTCCCAGGAAAAACATTTACTGATTGATCTACTGGTTAACTCCAGCTTATGTGTGTTCCACATTTACCGAGATGATCTCCAAGCTGATTCGTAGAAACTTGATGGGAATATGTTCTTTAATATAATAGACATGGAAGGCAAAAGGGATTGCCCTGGGGGAAAGGGTTTCTCACTGCTGCAGTCGTGTCTACCTGTAAGCTGGGTGCATAAGGCAGGGAAGAGCCCCCAGCCTTACAGCTAGTGATATTCTCTTCCTGCACACAAAATGAATATCTTGCACCTCACCCCACTATTATTTCTGCCAAATAAAGTATTTCACAGCAACCATTTTACCTGCATATTTTTCCAGAGGATCCAAAGGACAGTGTCCGACTCAGGCTGCAGAAAACCCACATCTTTATTTTCCTGGGGCCAGCTGATGCTTCCCCTCTCCCAGCATTTGCACACACATTTAGCTTTCTACATACAAACATCTCCACCACGTACAATAAGATCACAGGTCCATAGAGCACAGCCCTCCATAGCACTGAGGATGCTTTGCTTTGACCAGCATGAAAATTGGCTCAAATCTCTGTAGCCTCTTACTGTACATATTTTTGGGTTTATTAGAAAAGGGCAGGCAGACCAAAAGCCCCCTCAACTGCACTGTGCTGTCTCAGCTTGTCTGCCAGTGAGCTTTAGGAGCAGCTCATATCTGATACGGTTTGCACACTGCGTTCACGCTACCAAGTCCCTCTCCACTGACTTTCAAACGTAATTTTGAAAGCTGGAAAGTAATTTTTCCCTGGAAATCTATAGCTTATTTCCAAGTCTGAGAACCTGTTCGGTGAGCAGCCCTGCTCCCTCATCCTGGAGCCCAGCAGATGTGCAGGAGATGCTGCCCAGCACAGAAGCAGAGTCACGGCTGGGGCACTGTTAAATGAGCTAACAGTCAGAGCAGTGCCTGGTTTGACTGGGATGTCATTTGTATTGCTCTGACTCATTACTGCTTTTCCCGCTCATTAAATGTGTATTCTCACTGGCACTGCTTACTCAAAAGGTTTCAGCTACAAAAATCACTCCCTGAAAGAAATCCATTTGCTTTTCACACTCCAGAAGGCTTATTCAAATGCCCAAACGTATTGTAGTAAGCTTCCCCCCAAGCTTGGTCATTGTGGCTCAGCTCCAGCAACTCCAATTTACTCCACTGGTGGGGTCAGGAGAGGGACTTTGATTTAACTCTTTATTTGCTATGTCAAATATAGCTGGAATACCAGCTACTGCTTGCTAAGGCTCTGTGGAACACAAGCCAGCTCCAAGGTGATTAAAGAGAGTACATAGAATCATAGAATAGTTTGGGTTGGAAGGGACCTTCAAAGGTCATCTAGTCCAACCCCCCCAGCAAAGAGCAGGGACATCTTGAACTCCATCTGTTGCTTGGGTGGACACTTGTGCATTCAGACATTTGCAGGGCAGCAGGGGCTTACCATGCTGATGAGTTTTCATTTAGCTTGGACAGAGCTCCCCTGAACCATCCTTAGCCCTGAGATAGCCCATATTGGCACAACTGTTCCATATGATCTCTTAATGAGTTTGCATCCTCAGTCCAAGCTAGTCTTAAAACAGGATTATGTCATGGGAGTAACAAGTCAAACACAGACAAATCCTTAGGGTGAGTTTACTGGTCCAAAACCAGACCTCAGATATAAGCAATGTTCTTTAGGCTCCAGCTGTACTTGACAGGGAACCAGTTGTTTGGAAAGGAGAGGTGTCTGAAGTGGATGGGATTCATCTTCCTCAAGATAGTTTTTCTCCCTCCATTGACCAGGACAATCTTGAGACAGCTGGTTTAAGCCAGGTATATAAGGAAAAACACTAATTCCACCTTCAGTGCAGTACTTCAGCCATTTATCATTTAAATCCTCTGAGCTGCTCCACTGGACCTGGTTTTGGCTGAAAGAACCATCTCCACTGTCCGAGGAGCCTGGACAAGCAGCAGCAGTGTCCTGGCCTGCTAATGAGCATCACAAGCACTGAGCTCAGCTCTGACACCACAGGGGCTATATGTGATCCTCACTGCTTTCCTGCCTGATGTTCTGTCCCACTTGCACAGCAACGTGCTGAATGTTAACTCAGTCTTTATCCGGGGGAGGTATTTACACTCTTGTCCTTCACCTTAGGCTGGAAGGTCTGCTCAAGGACCAGCACTTGCCATAGGTTTGTACAGCTCCTCACACAGGAGAGTGGCAGCCTGCTGACATGATCATGCCTTTTCAAATCTGTCCTTAACTTAGGAATACACCATCTGATTTTCTTCTTAAAAACCCTCTGCACTGAAATACAGGTTAAAAAAGAAAGCCAGAACTGAGAATCTGCATAAGCCCACTGTTTCCATCCCATTGCTTACACAAGCTTAAAAACGGGTCTCAACATCACATCCAGCCAGTCACATAGCTGCCACTTTCCCACTTGCTCACTGCTAGGTTTGATGAAGGCAGCAAGGGGAAAACCACTGTTTTTCACTTCAATGTCCCTGGATTAATGTAAGCAGAACAATTCCAGGAGCAGCTCAGGGACCCTGGACACACTGACATATTCCTCTCTCACCTCGTAGACACCCACAGTCTCTACTAATGAACAAAGTGGCACCAGCCAACATCTCTGGGTGCTGGAACCCAACCATGGATCCCATTAAAGCATGAGATTGGTCCCTGGTGTGTTTTGGTTCAGGCAATACAGCTTTCTGCCAAGTGATGCTCAGGCTCAGTTTGGGAGTTAGCACAGGACAAGCAGCTCGGTTGCAACCACTCTCTTTTGGAGGCTAAAAGAGTTAACACTATGCAGGACATTGCCCTTCTCAATTCAACGTGCTGACAAAGGTATTGTGACCACCTCTGCTTCTCCCAGATCTGTAACTCAAGTGGAAGACGAGCCTTTGTCATGCAGAACTGCACAAGTCCAGAAACCAGCTCTTGCCTTGGGAGCTCACAGGAGACCTTCATCAAGCACATCCCAGTGGGAACACCATGGATCTCTGCTTACCAGAAATGCCATGAGCAGAGGTTGCACTGAAGTGCTGCTTTGCACTGAAGTGTTTCTTTGCACTTCCTCAACCCCAGCCAGGCACAATCTTAGCATCTCCTAAGCAAGGACAGAGTTTTGCAAGATCTCCCCTCTCTTTTCTCCCTTAGAGTAGGTTCACTGTTACAGCCCTAGTGGTAACTGTGGAGAGAGGCACAAAGACTTAGACCCAGCATTGCTTTTGCCATGTCAGACAGCCCTGTGCTTCCCCATGTGCCTTCCAGCAGCAGGAGGACTGTGGCAAGAGACCTCAGCTATGGCACTGCCACACAAGTTTATACTTAAACCCATCAGGCTCTTACCTTTACTTTTTCACCATTTATCTCCACAGTTTTGATCATAAAGTCAACTCCAATTGTGGCTCCTTGACCTGGTGGGAAAAGCCCCTGAAAGAAAACAGGAGTTTCATTGGGCAAATTTCTGTAGCAAGACAAGACTCTAAGTGCCAATCCTCACCCTTGCCCACCCTCAAAACTATTTCTCCCTTGTCCCCTTCCCCAGACACTTGTTCCCATCACATTTAGAGAGGAAAACGTGACATTTCCCCAGCACAAAGATTACTATAATTCAACCCCACAGTGTTTTCCCTGCCTACATTCCTAGTCACGTAGCAAGTTGACTTCAGAAGTAGGAAAACAGGAGAAAAGGAGGATTTGTACAGGCAAAATGAGAGGGGAAAAGCTTTCCAGCTTCAGTGCAGTTGGAAAAGGCAACGGAAGAGTAAATGACGACCCTCCATCCTACTTCTCATTGCCTTGAAAGAGGTGTGAGCACAAACATGGGATGAGATGCCTTTGCTCCTGCAACCTTATGCCTTCCCTCTCCCCCTCCACCACATGCCTCAGCATGGAAAGGCATTTCTGGCAGCTCCCAGTGCCAGGATCACCTCCCTGCACAATATTTTGGGAGCAAAGCATGAAGCCAGCCACTACCAGTGCCACAGCAATGGCAAAGGCTGGTGTGGTGCTGGTGGTATTTGATTGCAGCACCATGAGAAAGGAGCAGCAATAAACCAAAAATCTCCCTGAAAAACCCCATTCAGAGCTTTTGATTTCTGGTATCCAAGTCTACAAAGTCATGTTGATTTTGGGGCACATCCATCCCCTACAGCATCTGCGCTGCCAAAGCACAAAGAGCAGAAGCAGCCTCAGATTTTTGTGGTTAACCCTTTGGAGTTGACTGGCTTTATTGCCACTGTCACATGTGGTTGGAGAGTGTTTAACAACAACATGGCTTTGAAACTGAAATTAACAGTGAGGGTGGAAAGTGCTGACAATTCCTAGTGAAAAGTGCAACAAAACCGCCACAACTTAGTTCTTACAGTGCATTGTGCAAAACTTTCTCTTGCCCCAGATTATAGCAGCAAGGTCCTTCCTCTATCATTCAGCCACAGAGAAAGGTCTGGTGTTTAACAGAACACACTGGACTGACAGCCCAGGACCCAGATTATTTCATTATCTACTAATGGGAAATAACAGGGAGAGCTTTGTGCAGCGAGAGATGGGGAACAGAAGGCACACAAGGAAACACACTGGTCCTTATAACTGGTCCAGAACACCTCCAAATCAGGAGGAGTTGTCCAGCAGCTTTCCCACAGGGGACTTTCCATCTTCAGAAAGGGATGAGCTTTCTCCAACAGTGCCAAGTATAACACAACAAACAGATGTGCTGCTCGTGCCAGTATGTTGTTGTAGGTGATGCACGCACCATGCTCTGTAGCCGCGATGCCAGCAGAGCCCTCAGCGCACATTCAAGGGTCCATGCGCCTGTCCCAGTGCTGCCCCCACCCCAACATCCATGTCCCAGCCTTACCTGAGTGAAGCGACGGACTAAGCAGGTCTTCCCCACGCCGGCGTTGCCAATTAAAACAATTTTGAAGAGGAAATCATAATCTTCCATACTCATTTAGCAGCTGCAAGAGAGACAGAGCACACAACACCGTGTGAGCCAAGGCAGCGGTGAAATGCCTTTTTATGCCTGCTGGACTTCATTCCTCTAAATATTCAGAGCAAAGGTCTCCTGGCATGTGTGTGGCTCCTCAGATAAGGAGGAGAGCCCTTCCTGTTCCAAGTCAGGGCATCCACGTAGTCCAACATCAGCTGCCATGAAACCTTGGCCACGTTTCAGCTTTTGTGCTGTCTCACCTGAATTGGAGATGCTGGTTTTGAGCTTTCCAAGCCTGAGCCACCATTTCCTAGATCTCCCCAAATGTTTGTTTTGCTTTTAATTACATCAGTGCCAAAGTTCAGCCACATTGTCTGAGGGGATCATGTAATCTATTTCTGCCAGGGCAATACCCAGAAACTCCCTGTGAGCTCCTCCAGGGAGGCACTGGGTACCCACAGAGCAGAGCTGGGACATACATGAGGGCAGAACAGATGGGGAAATTAAAGTAATTTAAAAATGCAAGCAGCAACATTTGTCTTAAAGATGGAAAGAGCTCACTTGCTAAAATCACAGTGCAGAGCGAGGTAACAGTTGGCTGAAGTACATCAAGAGAGGGTTTTAGCAAAGAAATAATAGATGCTACAAGGAGTATTTCTACTACTATGGCAGTTTAGTTTTGTGAGGATAGCTTGCTTGGCTTAAAGCTCAAATGGGAAGTGAACACATGGGGTACCCAGCACACATATCCCACCTCCTCCAGTCCAACAGGAGAGGTGGTAGGATGCAGAGGCTGATGTTTTGGCAGCATCACAGGAGATGGGCAGTGTTGCCTACCAAGAGGAATATCTCCAGGGCTTCCTTAGGCCGCTTAAAGTATGGGGAGAACCAGATACACGTAGTTTGCTGCAGCTGAGCAAGGCATGAGGGATGGTTATCCAAACCTCCATCTCCAGTGCACCCAGGGGTGCTACTGACACTGTGACCAGAGAAGGGGTCTAGAACCTTCAAGAAAAGCAACAACAACCACAAAAACTTCAGGTTTAGGTTTCAAGCAGACAGAAAAACCCACAGACAAGGGTGCAGAAGGACAGAGTCCAAATCCAGCTCTGTCCAGGAAGATCCAGGTATTATTATATGTGGCAAAGACCTGTCTTCGAGACTGGTCTGGGATAATGGCATAAAAGACATTACTAAAGAGACAGGTTTACAAGCTGTCAGTTTATACCAAGTAAGGTGGTACCTAAGCACCACTACCTAATCCACCAGTACCTATAGATTAGGCAGTGGATGAGAAGATAGAGCCCTTTCCCACTGCCTCCAAAGGTCCTTCCTTGGGAGTGTTCATTGCCACACACTAGAAGGCCCTGGCTGCAGACCCAGGTCCCACCACATAGCTGTGATAGGCTTTTGGTCAAACAAGATAAAACTGAGAGAGCCTGGGTCTGCCTGGCAGACCTGATGGCAGAAGAGGTGAAAGATTGACTCAGCTGCTTCACGTCTGTGTGATCCTTGGCCTTTCCAGCAGCCTAAGACAAAAGGGTAACCACACCAATCAGTGAGTGACTAATGACGTGCATCACATCAGCAGATGCGATTAGCAGGGACACTGCTGAATCACTACATGGACATGTCACTAACACAGCACAGCACTTGCCCTGGAGCTGGTTTGCTGGTCCCCTGCAAAGTGCCATCAAACAGCAGGAGCTGGAGCTGTCCTGAGGATGCTCTGACCTCACCTTCCTCTGATACTGAGCACCTTGCTCCCTCCTATCCCTTAATACAAAGAGTGGGACGTTAAACAGCAGCCTCCAAAAATGTCCTTTTTTCTTTTCTGGGGTTGTTATTTTGTGTCATCATTTCAGATCTCCCTGACTGGCTTTCCCAGAGTGGGACCAGATACCAACGACATTATTAAGACCATGTTGACAGCGCTCTTACAGTGAAGGTTAAATGCTAATATAAGGTTTCAAGCTTTCACACTAGCCAACGTGCAGAAAAACATGATCATCCACTAAAAGCTATTTCAAGACTGATGAGACTTACTCAGCACTGGATAATTATCCCTGGGATGCTTCAAATCCCAGAGGGCACTGCTCCGCCCCTGGGGGGATTTCAGATCTATTACTTGTACCCCAAACAATTCAGTGCTCAAATTTGTCTTCTTGGGAAGCTTAAAAATAAACTTCCTCAGCAGATCTCTGAGCTCAGAAATGCTAAATAGCTCAGATATACCCTCGAGTTATGTCTGATCCCCTTCATTAGACTCCAAGACTAATTATATGTGATAATGACCCCAAATGGGAACTGGAAGATGAGCCAAGGCAATAAAACAAACAACGTAATGATGAGATTAAATTGCCAGAACTGAAGAGACACCAGAAGTGGGGGCACAGGAAGGGAGAAAGCAAAGAAAGCAGCAAGGAAGAGAGAGAAGTGGGAGGTGGAAAGGGCAGATGAGGTTGACCATCGCTGCCCTATCACCCATGTTCACCTGAACTGGTGTTTCTCCCTCTGCTGTGCACACACACTCTCACCACAGTGTCAGCACTGGAATCACAACCATTGCATCAGTCACTGTTACAACATCTCCTACCAGCCGAGCCCTCCAGCCAAGTGACCTTTGCTGCTGACTCAGGCTCACATAACCCTCCCTGTCCCCAGGGAAGATGTGTCTCAACCTCTGCCCGGCTCGCTATGGCCAGGGAATGCGCATGTCAGCAATACATCCCGCTTGGAGTTCCATGCTTTAAAAAGAAACAGATAATGCAGAGTGACAGGTTTTGGTGTGGTTTTGCTTTCTTTTGGGTTGTTTGCGTTTTGGTTTGGGTTTTTTTTCCCCTTTCTGTTCTCTTGTGTTGGCAGGCACAGGCTCTGCATTGCATCCCTGCAGTGGTTTAAAGTGTTAGTGCTGCAGCCGCCTGTCCCACCCTTCGGCAGAGACAAGACCCTGCAGCAAGGGCTGGGATGCCTGTCTCTGCCTCCGCCACCCCTCACCACACTTGTTTAACACAAACAGGGCTGGCTACAGCACCAAGACATGCCCTGTGATGAGATGAAGCAGGAGCAGAGCCCGAGGCTGGTAGCAAGGCAGAAACCTGGGTTTCACAGCCATTTTTCCCAGTTTTTTCCCAGCTCACATCCCAACCAGTCTCCGTGGCTCATGACCCTCTGGTGCTGTCCCCACCAGACTCAAGGGGATAAGTTTTGCAGGGGTTTATGTCCTTTGTGTCACTGCTCTGCTCCACTCCACCATGCAGCCCCATGCACAGCCACTGTGAGCAGGAACAAGGAGCCAGGAGAGGCAAATCAAAGCAGGGTGATGACCTATAGAGGTGGTCCAGCAGCAGGAACACAGCTGAAGGATGGCAGGACATGTTTTAGGCTTAGCTGGTTTTCTTTGCTTGGGCAAGACAGCACAGTGAATGCTCTTAGTATTTTTCAATTATTAATTCCAATTCAACCCAAAGACTAACGAGATCCACCCAAAACAAAAGCACAGGGGCCAGGGGCTTTTGCCTCCTCTTCCTCCCATGCAAACTTGTACTTGCACTGCTGCAAAGGCAGACACACACCAGTCCTTCCTGCTTCTCCCACTGTCCAGATTGCTGGGAACTCTACCACAGCATGGTCAGCAGGACTTGGTTCTCTGTTTCACCCTTCCATGGGCTCTTCTCCTGGGACAGCTGATGGAGGAGAAAGACCTGCTTCTATTCCACAACACAAGGAGTTCTCCACAGTAAATATATATCACAGAATGGGTTGGAAGGGACCTTTAGGTCGTCATCTTGTTTCAACCTCCCTGCCATGGGCAGGCAGGGTTGGAAGATATACTTTAGGGAATACAACATCCAGGTTATGTTTCAGTTTGTTCCCCTACATGATGTCCTCTCCCTGCATTTGCTCCATTCACCTCTCAGTTCACCCTGATCCACTTTGGCAGTGTTTATCATCACCTTTACCAATTATTTCCTTCTTTTGCAGGGTTTTTTCACTCAGTAGTTTGGATGGGCACAGTGGGCTCCTCTTCATGTCTGACCTGCTCTGACCATGCCACACTCAGCCTCTTCGGTTGCCAGCTAAGTGGTAGAAGCACAATGTAAAGGTTCAAATACTACCTGGGAGACATGAATGACTTTGAACTGATCAAATTCTCCTTCAAACGGATGAAACCACTATCCTGCCTGCCCAGCATCAGCTTTTACACCAGGCTTGGCACAAAACAAGCAGCAAGTACGAGTGAGGTTTTTAGCTGATAAAGAAATCTCTGGCACTGCTCTCTCGGCTCCTTTGCTCAAGGAACAGTTTCCACCTCTAGGCATGACCGCAGCAGACTCTGTGATGATGACTCTGCCCAGTTATTTTGGCCAGAGCCAGAAGTGGAGTCGGGTACTTCAAAAGCACAAGCCTTTCCCAGTCAACTACAAGGTGTGCCAATGTCTGCCCGTCTTTAATCCTCCCTGAAGATGACAAGACAATGTGTGCTCGAGAAACACTATGGGCAGCCTTAATCTGAAGTCAAGAACCTTTCATGTCTAAAATAATGTTTGGCACCTTCATTTTAGAAGAAAAAACAGAAATAATCTGTTGTTTCTAAACCTCCATGGTGTCTCAGTCCTCTTCTGCATATGAGGCACAGGAATCATTCAGCAGCAGTTCCCATCTCTGCAGGGCCTGGTGACAACAAGAGCAGGGAGTTCATGGCACATTATGGCATCTTCTCTCCCCACCAGTCTCACTCAGGGATTTTCTATTTCCTATAACTGAAGAAACATCAGAAGGCTTCGTGGGCATGTCCTGCTTATGAGCCATGGTTAGGGTATCACTGTCCCCGTATCAGAACAGGCTTAGTGCAGTTTGGTGATGAAGACCCATGCATGGCTATAGAATCATAGAATCATTTAGGTTGGAAGGGACCTTTACGATCAGTCAAGTCCAACCATAAACCTCACACTGTCAAGTCCACCACTGAACCATGTCCCCAGGCACTTTGTCTACATGTCTTTTAAATACCTCCAGGG